CCCCTTGCCTGCTTTTAATGACATCCCCACGCTCCACCCATGCCCGGGCAGGTGGGTGCTTGCACCCGCATGCACACACTTGCAAGCACCCTTGGCTTTCGTTGACCCCTGTCTCCAGCAGTGCATGGGCTCCTTCCAGCATGCTCACTTGCACAGGCTTCCCTTGCTGCCCCTCCGCATGGCTGCCTCCCAGGAGGGGTGCAGAGAAAGCCCCGGGGACCTTGTCTAGAGCTGCAGGAGACACGGGCTGCGCCAAGGCCGTTGGCTCCCATCCGACACGGTGTCTCCAGGCCGGGCGTTTGGATCCCCGTGGCATCGCGGTGTCTTGCCCCCACCCCTGAGGGCTCGCTGTTCCCTCCGGTGCAGGAGATCAAGAAGCTGAAGGAGCTGATGAGCGCGACGGAGAAGCTGCGCCGGGAGAAGTGGATCGACGAGAAAACCAAGAGGATCAAGGAGATCACCGTGAAAGGTACAGAGCTCTCCCTGCGCCGGCATCTGGCTGCTGTACCACGCTCACGCCAGCAGGGGGCAAACCGGCTTTCCCAGCCCATGCATGTCACAGGACACGGGCCCCACACGTGTGCCCCTGGCCGTGCCTGCCCTGTCCCCAGGATAGCTGCATGGTGCCGTCCGTGCGCTCAGGCCAAGCCCGTGCCCGCCTGCCTGATGGCGCATCCTGTCCACCACCCCCAGGGCTGGAGCCCGAGATCCAGAAGCTCATCTCCAAGCACAAGCAGGAGATCAAGAAGCTGAAGGCGCTGCACGAGGCGGAGCTGCTGCAGTCGGACGAGCGGGCGGCCCAGCGCTATGTGCGCCAGGCCCAGGAACTGCGCCAGCTCCTGGAGCGCGAGAAGGAGGAGCAGGGCCAGCGCGAGAGGGAGATGGCCAGGCAGCGGTACGGGCCTGGCTGGGAAGCCCTGCATCCCTCCTGTCTGGGCAGCCAGGGGATGAGTGACCCCAGAACTGGGGAGGTGGTTAAGGTGTCTGCCCCGTGGGGGCATCTGGGCTGGGCAGCTGCATGCCTGGCAGAGGGGAGACAGCTGCAGGACAGAGGGAACCACCAGAGAAGATCCTGGGACCGGCCAGGGGGTCCTGGGAGGAGGCAGGTGGGGACCCTGGGGCTGGGAGCAGTGCCAGGCTCCCAGGGCAGGATGTGCCTGAGCAGCCTCTTCCCCGTCGCAGGTACGAGAAGCACCTGGAGCAGGAGGAGCAGGCGTTGCAGCAGCAGCGACGCAGGCTCCATGCCGAGGTGGCCGAGGAGAAGGAGCGGCTGGGGCAGCAGGCTGCCAGGTGAGGCAGGTGGCTGGGGTGAGCCCCAGGCTTCCTGCCCCGGGCTCCCCACCTTTTCCAAGAAGCACCAGGGTCTGGGGGGCTCCGGTTCCAGCCCCATGGATGGGGCCAAGGAGCTCTGGGACTGCTGGAACCAAGAGAGGTTGCGCTGGGCTGAACCACAGGGTCTTGGGGACCAGTGCCTACCCCCAGGAGCGGGGCAGGGGTCACTGACTGCAGCCTTGCATCCCACAGGCAGCGGGCAGAGCTGGAGGAGCTGCGGCGGCAGCTGGAGGAGAGCAGCGCTATGGGCACCAAGGCACTGAGGGAGGAATATGAGAGAGGCCAGGAGGAGCAGGAGAGGCGCCATCAGGTCTGAAGCACCCCCCGATTCCTGTTGCAAACCCCCGGCCCTCCCTCCCTGGCCTGGGCTCAGTCAGGGAGCAACGGGATGAGGCTCCAGTGCTGCAGGGGCAGCGCTGGGTGCTCGGAGCCAGCGCATGCCCTTTGCCTCGCTGGCATCTCCCCCCGGGTCGAGGCTGGGGGCTCTGGCTGGTTGGGGCTGCAGCACTTACCCCCCATCACTCACCTGGGTCCTGCTGTGCTCCCCCCAGGCGGAGGTGAAGGTGTTGAAGGAGCGTCTGGAGATCGAGAAGCAGGCCTGGGAGGCCAACTACGTTAAGAAGGAGGTAACGGTGCGGCCGCCAACCCCTGGTAGGAGCTGGGACAGGCTCCAGGCTCCGCCTGATCCCTGGCCTGTGCCTTTCCCCCCAGGAGGCCTGGCTGCTCTCGCGGGAGCGGGAGTTGAAGGAGGAGGTGCGGAAGGAGCGGGACAGGGAGATCGAGCTGGTCATCCAGCGCCTGGAGGCCGACATGTCGTCCGCCAAGGAGGAGTGCGAGCGGGCGGCGGAGAACAGGTGCGGGGTGGCCGGGAGCAAGAGCAGTTCACGTCTGCTGTGAGCTGTCCTCACCGGGGCCATCGCGGATACCTGAGCAGAGCTGGGGGCAAGGCTCTTGCCTTTCTCCCCCATGTTCTCAGCCCCCAGGTGTGGGCAGCTGAACCCATCTCTCCCCAGGCCAGTGGCTCACTCCTAGGCCCGTATGAGCAGCAGGGTGCCTGGCGGAGCACAGCAGAGCGCCACGGGCTTTGGCTGGGGGATAGGAGGAGCGTTCCCTGCACGTGCACAGGGGGAAGGCCCCGTGCGGTGGAGGGACCGGGTTGCTCGCACCGGCGGTTTGTCCCTCGCTGAGAGGCAAAGCAGATGCTCCTCTGCGAGCTCCCAGCAGTGTCAGCTGCTCCATCGTCCCGACAGGGTCTGCACAGACTGGTGTGGAGTGGAGCTGGTCTCCGTCCTGGAGCCGGCTGTCCCCATCCCAGACTGGCTCCCCTGGGTGCCTCGTTCCCCCTGGAGCCAGGGAAGGTCCAGGCTATTCCTAGGAAGTACGTTGCGGCTCCTGGGGACAGCTCGTAGACTCCCTGCCCCACGCAGTCGTGCAAGCTGGGCAGCTGAGTGCGATGCGGATATATCCCCCTTCCCCCCGGAGGCGGGCGAGCTGGGATGTAGCGCTCTTGTCCCCTCCAGGATCAAGAGGGTGCGGGACAAGTACGAGGCGGAGCTGCAGGAGCTGGAGAGGTTGGAGCGGAAGCTGCAGGAGCGCTGCAATGAGCTGAAGGAGCGGCTGGCCGAGCTGGAGGGCGAGAACATCCGCCTGCAAGGCCTGGCGAAGCACAAGGAGCAGGAGGCGGATGAGATCCGCAAGGTGGGTGCAGCGTGGGCCCGTCTGCTCCCAGGCCCAGCCCTGCACGGTGCCCCCGCTGGGCCCTCTGACCTCTGCCCCTGCCCCAGGTGAAGGACCGGCTGACCCAGGAGCGGAGCAGCCTGTCGGATGTGATTCGCCAGGAGTTTGCTGATCGGCTGGTGGGGACGGAGGAGGAGAACAAGCGGCTGAAGGTGGAGATGTCGGAGATGCGGGCCCGCCAGCGCCTGGAGCTGGACCGCATCGCCCGGGAGAAGGACGCTGAGCTGGAGGAGGTGCACAGGAGGTGAGGGCTGGCCCCATGGTGCCAGGGCACGCTCCTTGCGGGTGGGGAGAGACCCTTGCCCTGTGCATTCAGCCCCTGGGGTTGGCAGCTGCTTCCCCGTGCCGGCAAGGGCCACGTGGCTGTGAATCGGAGGCCTGGGTTCCCCATGCTCATGCCCCCCAGCAGCTGTCTCTGCATGAACTCCCAGTCGGAGGATAGCTGGTGTCTAGTGGGGAGCACCGGGAGCTGCGAGGCCCGTGCTGCATCCAAAGCGGTGGAAGTCCAGCTCTGGCTGAACGTGATGGAGGAGCTGGTAGCGCTTGCGGGGCTGTAGGAGGCACCTGGGGAGAGCTATCGAGAGCTAAATGCATGCTGGGCCTGCAGCCCCAGAAACTGGCACAAGAAGCAAGGGGGAGTTCCCGGACAGCTGGGGGCAGCCCTGAGCTGGGGGCTGACCATTTTTCTTGTGTGCGCTGTGTCACTGAGTGCTGCTGGAACAGGGTTACTAGCCTCCGGCATCAGTTGCTTGTCCCAGGCCACGCCGGGGGCTAATGCAGTGGCTAAGGGTCTTATTGATGCCCTGGGCACCCCAGTCATTCCTCCCCTGCCCCCATCTGCCTTGCAGGCTCAGCTGGCCTTTGCAAGGGTGTTGACACCCCCAGGGAGGAGCATGAGGCCACGGTCCTCCAGCCCCAGGCGAGCATCTCTGGGGCAGTGGGGCAGGGGCACCCAGCACAAGGGCTCAGCCTCATCTTTTGTGTTGGTGCAGGGTGAAGACGGCCGTGGTGAAGAAAGAGGAGGCCGTGAGCAGCCTGCGGAAGCAGTACGAGGTACATGGCCCCGCGGGCGGGGTGGAGGGGTCTGCAGTGCCGTCTCCCACCGTGCCTCTAACGCCCGTGCTCTCTCGTCCCTGCCACGGGCTTTGCTGCAGGCGGCGGTGAAGAGGGCCGACCACCTGGAAGCCTTGCTGGAGCAACAGCGGAGACAGCTGCTGGCTGCAAAGTGACTCCCTGCCGGCAGGACACTGCCCCCATGCAGCAGGCCGGGGCCCAGACGCCGTGTGCTCCGGGGGGGAGCCGCCGGCGTGGGCTCGGACATTGCCGTGTGCAGGCGTGTGGGTGCACGGGCACCTCCCCTGCCTCCTGCTGGTGCTGGCCTGTTTCTGGTGCCTCCAGCCTGTGGCCTCGGTGGCCTTGCAGGTGTATTTTGGTAGTAAAAGCCATGTTGGTTTCTACAGCCGCGTCTCGGTTCTGTCTGTGGGAGCTGCAAGGCGAGGGCAGGCCCTGGCGCCAGGGCTGGGCTTCTCCTCGCTTGGGGTGTGCTTTGAACCCTGCCTCCAGCAGCTCCAGCACCACCTCCTCGCGCCTGGCTGCAGCCTGGAAGCCGTGCGCCTTTAACAGTTTGTCTGCCTGGTGCTGCTCTCTGCACCCTCCTTGCTACCCGCTCTCCCTCCAGCCAGGCCAAGGCTCCAGGGGACCCTGCACGGGACCTGGGCAGCTGAAAGTGAGCGATTGCCTGGGCTCTTGCCAAGAACAGGCTGTGGGGAAGACCAGGAGCCCGGTACTGCCCTCAGGAAGATGCAGCCACGTGAGAGCAGCAGGGCGGGGTCCCGTGGCCCCTGCCAGTCCTGGCCGGGCAGAGAGCGCTCCAGGAGATCCCTCGCCTGCTCCTGTCCGGTCTGTTTCCCTCCATCCTTCCCGGGTCCTGGGCTGCGGGCGGTCCTGGGCGGTGTAGGCTGGCAGTGGTTTCTCACGGGCGGTTTTGCCTTGGCGGCTCTGTGCGGCCCCGCTGGCAGGAGAGGCCGGGGCCGTGGTCTCCAGCCAGGACTGGTCTCTGGTCTCTGCACTGGGAGTCTGCTGCTGCCTGGAGGTGCCAAGATGATGGGATGGGGTGGGGGACGCCATGCAAGGACGCCTTTACTCCCTGCTGCTCCTGCGCAGGTGGAGGGGCTGCGCTGTCCGTCTACCCTTGTCCCCCAAAGGACAGGATGACCCCCCCAGAGGGCAAGGGACTTCCTAAGAGCCCTGAGCCTGCCCCTCAGCCAGAGCTCACTCCCCCCAACCCCAGCAACACCCAGATGAGGAAGTGGGAGGATGGGGCAGTTCCTGTCAGGTGCCTTCCTGAGCTGTAACCCATGACCACCCGGCTGGGTCCTGACGGTCCTGGTGCTGCGGTGTGGAGGGAGGTGGAGCAGCCTGGACACCGGGCTGGGAGTGCAAGACCCCTGCGCGACCCCCTAGGCACAGGGAACCCCCTGCCCTGTGTGGCCCACGGGCTGCAGAGCCTGCGTCACTGGCTTCTGTGCACTCGGCGAGCAGGAACTTGCCGTTGCATGGCCCGCCCTGATAAGCAGCCGGCGGGTCTGAGGCAGCTGCGCCGGGGGCTGAGGCCAGCCCCAGGGGTATGTAACACGGCTCTGCCTGGCACCCAGCCCCATGCAGCACTGCTGTGCCCGCCCGTGGGTGCTGCCTGGTTGCAGGAGAGCTGCGCTGTTTGCTGCTGGCCGATGGCCTGAGCGCGTCCAGTCCAGGCTGGGGCGCCCCCCCCGGGCCTGCCCCGCCAGCTCCTGTGCATTAGTGACTCCTGTGTGGGCCGGATATGTCCTAAGGCCGGCCGGTGATGGAGCAGGAGCCTGGTCTGGAGGGAGGCGGGAAGCCGCCCTGTTACGGGCGACGTGGGGCAGGTCCGTGAGGTCCTGGGGGCAGCGGGATCTGCGAGCGGGGCTGATGGGTAGCACTGGGAGAGGAAACGGCTTTCTGCTCTGCACGGCTTGTGCTCCAGCACCTGGGGGCTGTTCCCCGCCGCACGCTTCTGCCTTCTTCCGCTGAGCTCGGGGAGTCGCAGGGCCCAAAGGTCTCTGCTGCTGAACAAAGGCATGAGGCTTGTCTCAAGATGGGGGCAGCATCCCATGCCGACTTTCCCAGGCGCTGATGGGCTGCGTCTGCACCCGACCCGCAGGGCAGCGATGAGGTGGCTTCGAGCAGTGGTTTCGCCCAGGTCCTGGCCCCATGCCTGCAGCTCCTGGCGCCCCAGGGCCTGCCTCTGCAGCCTCCCCATGCTGGGTCTCATGGCGTGCACCGCTCTGCTGGTGTTGGTCGTATGCTGGGGGAGCTCCTTGCACCTCTTCCACAGGTAAAGGCCCCTCTTGCGGCTCCCGGGACGTGGCAATGGGGTTTGTGCCTGGCTATGGGCTGAGCTGCACAGGACGGGGGGCGTTTTGCCGCCTTGGCCCAGCTCCGGGGTCTCTGCAAGCAGATATCCTGTGCGACTTCCGTAGCAGGGAAGGAAGGGAGGCACCATCCTCTTCCTGCCCAGGCCTGACTGCAAAGCTCCCTCCAGTTTCTGCACTGGTCTGTCCTGCTGCCGAACAAGCCCCCGACATCCCGGGCACCCCAGGGGACGGCACGACCCAGCGTCTGGCTTGCGCCTGCGCTGCCCTGCAGGGTGGAAGCAGCGGGGTCCGGCGGAGCCTGCCTGCAGCCCGTTAGGGTCCTGGCCCATGCGAGCGCGGCTGTCCTGGTGTCACCTGAGCTGCAGGCACCAGGCTGGCACGGCTCTGGGGACTGGATATGGAGCCGTGTGAAGGACGTGGCTGCCCTGGGCCTGGGGCATGAGGGGTGCAACATGGGATGAGTTGGCGGGGCTCAGGCCAGCACCTGGCACCCAGCTCCCCTCTGGGTGGGTCCCAGGGTGACCCTGCCCTTCCCCGCGGTAGAGCAGAGAGGAATGGGGAAGGAAGTTGTTCTCTCCTCTCCTTCCTGGCAAGGCTTTGATGTGCAAGAGAAGCTGTTGTCCAACTCTCAACTTGTGATAAAGCTGGTACAGCTTCCCCTGCTCTGGGGGCCCCTGCGGTCCCGGGGGGAGGGCACGGAGCTGCCTCTGGGCATCGGCCTGGGCTGGGCGGAGGGCAGGCAGCCGCTGTCCAGATGTGCAGCAGGTGGGAGGTAAGAGCCGAGTCCAGCACCCCTGGCAGCCCCTCCCAGAGCCCTATCACCCCCCAGCCGTGCCCTGGGGAGAGGGCAGGGGCAGCCTGTCCTCAGCAGCACCCTGCCCCGCTCAGCCTGGCTGGCTCGGGCCATCGCAGCGGCCTGGGGTCTGCTCCCCCACGGGATGCCCGTGCCCTGAACCCTCCTCTCTCTGGGGCAGGTATCGGCCTGACGCTCTGGAGCCCGAAGCCAGCACGAGGACCGTCTCCCCACCCCGCCCCATGCTGGAGTCATTCCTCGGGGACCAGTACGGGCAGGATGGGACGTATCAGAGCTCGGTACAGTCTGTGCAGGGAGTCTGAGGGACGGGGGCTACATCCCTGCCCGGGGAGCCTGTGGCTGGCAGGGCTGGGGTGGGAGCTGCCTGCTGCTGCACTCACACCCTGCCTTGCTGCTTGGCCCAGGGGTGCCCCAGCAGCATCCGGAAGAGGATCCACGGCACCGAGTTCAGCAGCATCTTCCTGGAGACCATCCCAGTGCTGCAGTGGTCGCGGCACGCCGAGGAGGCCGAGTACCAGCGTCTGCAGAGGTACCACGGAGCCTTTGGCTGGCAGGAGGTTTCCTGGCCTGGTGAGAGCTCGGTGGGCCTGGGTGTGTATCCATGTGCCGTGCATGGGCTTTGCTGCGGGGCTCCCCCGGCTCACCCAGCCCCTCTCTCCGGCGCGTGGTTTCAGTGCTGCGAGATGCTCTGAGCCTGCTCAACACCTCGGCCAACGCACGCCTGCTTGAGGCCCGGGGCCCTGGTGACCCCTCCTGTATCCGCTGTGCCGTGGTGGGCACCGGCGGCATCCTCAACAGCTCCGGCATGGGGGCCGCTATCAACCGGCACGACTACGTGTTCAGGTGGGAGCTCGCGGGGGAGCTTTGGGCACGGTCCCGGCCCCGTGGCGGTTGCAGGTTCTTCACTGGTCCCTTCCCCATCCCCGCAGGATGAACGGTGCCATCACCGCGGGCTTCGAGCGCGACGTGGGGGACCGCACGTCCTTCTACGGCTTCTCCACCAACACCATGATGAACGCGCTGCATGCTTATGCTGCCAACGGCTTCCAGCAGCCGCCACGGACACCGGTGAAGGGCGCAGCTGGGCAGGGGGAGGCGATGTAGTCCGGAGCGCTGGCTCAGGGTTGGGACCCCTGGGTTCCTCTCTTGGCTCTGCCACTGTCTGCCTGGGTGACCTTGGGCATGCCACTTTGCTCTGACTGTCGAAGAGCTGGACTTCATCGAAGCCCTGTGGATCCCGGGTTTCCATCCCCTTCTCAGTTCCCCGGGCTTCCCCGAGCCGTCAGTGCCGACCCCAGCTTGCATCCCAGCTGCCGGGCAGCAGAAGCTGCAGAGGCGACTCCAGGGGTTGCTGGGGTCTGTCCTTTCCACCTGTCCCTAGTGAAGCCCCCCACTCAGGGGCTGGCCGCCAACCCCCTCCCATCCCAGATGAAGCCAAGGAATTGGGGGCACTGCAGGGCCAGGGAGGCAAGGCTGGGCCTGGTTAATTATTACTGGACAGTGTTAATTGTTCCCGGGCTCTTTGCCACAGGAAACCAGGTACCTTTTCCTCCCGGACCACGATCGCGATTACCTGTTGCTCCGGGCGGCCATGACCCGCAGTCCCGTGGACCAAGGCCAAGACAAGGGCGCTCGGTGAGTCTTTTGGGGAAGAGGTGGGGGGTTCCCCAGATGTTCAAGCCCCAGGGTGAGCCAGTGCCGGCCCCAGCCACAGGGTCTGAGTGCCCCCCTCCCCATGCAGATATCACAGGGGCTCCAGGCCACATGCGTATCCATGCGGGGCGGGCTAGTCTGCTCTGACCCGTCCTGGCTGGACCCGCTGGGGACCTGTCCACAGGGAGCTTCTGCAGGGCTGGGGTGGAAGTGGCATGGTGGCCTCCTGGCTGGTCCATGCCACCTTGGGAGGGGATGCATGGCTGCCCCCCCCCCCCCCAGCCAGCTCCGCTGTGCTCCCACAGGCCCCAGCAGTACTTCGGAGAGGACCTGAGGGCAGAGAAGTTCAAGATGCTGCACCCCGACTTCATCCGCTACCTCCGGAACCGGTGAGAGCCCCACGGGGTGGCTCTGGTCGCGCCCTCCCTGCCAGGCCGTCGCTCCCCAGGGACCCCACGGCCCAGGTGGCCACGAATCCTCCTGGGGAGTGCAACAGCCCCCCCTTGGTCTGGGTTGGGATGGCATCAGCAGCCTCGCCTACGGTTGCCATGGTGAAGGTTTCCTAGCAACAGGAAACACCCCGCATCTGCTCCATCGCAGATTCCTCCTCTCCGAGACGGTGCGGTCCCTACGCTGGAAGCTGTACCGCCCCTCCACCGGGGCCGTGATGCTGCTGACTGCCATGCACACGTGTGACGAGGTACAGCCTGCCCCCGCACGCTCATTCCTACTGGCTGCGAGGTCCTCCTCTGCCCCGACCCCGCAGGGACTTCGGGCACTGTCGGGTGCTGGGGCGCGCTGCACCCCCGCTCCAGGGCCGTGTGGCGTCTCCATGGCCAGTGGGCCCCTGCGTGTCCCAGCACTGCTCCCATGTAAACCCCCTAGCACCGGCGTGGGGCATGTCTGCAGGGGTCCTGCCCTGCTTGCTTGGCCTGGCTGCCTCTGGGGGATGCAGTGGGAGAGGGGATAACACCAGGTCAGAAAAGACTGGGCATGTCTCAGCAGCCCCCGTAGGCTCCCCTGCAATGTTGGGCTTGCTGTCCCCCCCCCAGGTGAGTGCCTACGGGTTCCTGACCCCCAACTACGCAGCCTTCTCCGAGCACTACTATGACCGGGTGCACAAGAGCATCTCCTTCTACCTCAACCACGACATGCAGCTGGAGTTGCAGCTCTGGCAGCGGCTGCAGCGCAGCGGGCTCCTGACATTATACACGCGAGACTGACGGCCAGGAATGCGCTGGGTCATGGCGCGGGGCCGTAGAGCTGCCGCGGCCCCGGAGGACGTCGGGGGCACAGCTGGCGCCACTGCATTGTGCATGGGCTGGTGGCTACCCTGGCAAAGCCCCGCTGGACCTGTCCCCTGGGGACACCTGGCCGCTCTGCAAAGGACAGAGGTCAGAGCTCAGGTCCAGCAGCGTCTGGCCGTGCTCAAGGGGGGCAAGAGGCAGGTCCCTTGAGTGCTGCACCTCAGTTTTCCCCTCTGTGGAATGGGTGCACCAGTTGTTTGCCACAGAGTTCAGCCCTTCCCTGCAGCGGGTGGGGCCGGCACTGCCCAGTGATGGCTTGGCAGTGCCCCAGAATCACCGGCCCCTCACCCTCCTTTTCTGAAAGGGGCATTGGCCATGAATAAACTCCCGGGTCCATACCCGGCTGGTGTACTAGGTTCCCTGTGCTCCCTACAGCCCCCAGCCAAAAGCTTCCCTGCTGGCCAGCCGGGGCGTGGAAAGGGCAGCGCAGCACTAATGAGCTCGGCTAAAGATCCCCAATTAAGGAGGCCGCTCTTTGCCAGCGGATTAGCAGGGATCATCAGGACCTATTAGCCAGGAGTCGGCCCAGCGTGCCGCTGGGGGAAAGGTCAGAGGTGGGGTGGGTGGGCGGGCGAGGGGGTCTTGACCACATCTGGTGTCTGGCCCGGGCCCGGGGGCACCTCGGGGGTTATTCTCCGACCCAGACTGATCCGGCGGGAATCTGGAGCGAGCTGGCAGGGTCACTGGACACGCACAGGGGGAGAGCGCGGCTTGGCGGGGGCCCGGGGCTCTGGTCTGTGCCCTGGCATGATGGTTACCCCGAGTGTTGCTTGTCCCTGGGGCCGGCGGGTGCAGGCAGAGGGCAGGGGTGAGAGAACACCAGCGGAGCCTTTATTGGGGGCTGCCGCCTCGTGCGGGAAGCAGGCAAAGCCCCTGAGCCGCGCCGCGCAGCCGGGTTGTAGTCTACAGGCCACGGTGGCCAAGCGTCCGTGTACGCGGGGTCTGCACGCAAAGCAGGAGGCGCCCGGGCAGTAGTGGCTCTCGTCCCTCTTCCCACCTCACTTCTTCTTGGGAAGCTTCTCCTTCGTGACCAAGTCGGAGAACTCTGCAAGGGGAAGGCGAGAGGGGCTGGAGTGGGTGTGGGTGGCGGGGCTTGGCCGCCCCTTCTCCCCTGGGGGCTCCAGTCCTGCCTTGGGGGCTTGGGAGCCTTTTCAGCTCCCCGGCACTTCCTCGGAGCCTGCTTTGAGCAGTGCCACAGTGCACTGCCACGCTATGGTGCACTGCCACGCTATGGTGCACTGCCGTGCCGTGGCTGGACGCTGCCCCTCCGCGGACACGAGCTGCAGAGAGCAGATGCCTGGTGCAAGGGGCTGGGGGTTACAGCGCACGGGGCTGTTGGGCTCGCCACCCAGCTGCCCCTACCTTGGAAATCAATGCGCCCGTCCCCATCCGTGTCAGCTGCTTGGATCACGGCTTCGGCCTCCTCGTCCGATAAGGGCATCACGGGCATGTTGCTGGGCATGGTGGACAGGATGTACCTGCGAGGCAGAAGGCGCCAGCTCAGGTGCAGGCAGGAGGCTGTCACCCAGCCCCGGAGAAGGGGGACAAGGGAGGTCTGTGAAGCAAGTGCTCCGAGACCCATGGCTGCTTTCCCACTGCTGCAGAGGTGGGAAGCCGAGCAGAGCCCCCCATGCATGGATGCCCAGGGCCCCCCCAAGAGGCACTGAAAGCGTGTGGCTGGGAGCGGGGTCTGGGCCCGGGGCAGTTACTTGATCTCGTTCCACTCGATGAAGCCGCTGTTGTCCTTGTCCAGCATCTGGAAGGCCTTGCGGATGTGCTCCTCCCGCGCACCCGACGTCTGGAACTTCTGCATGTACTCGAAGAACTTGGTGTAGTTGAAGGAGGCTGCGGGTAGAGAGGGGAAGGGGTGGAGGGGACGCTCCCGGCAGGACGCAGAGCAGCCCCTGCCCTCGAGTCTGGGATGCTCCATGCAAGGGCATAGACCTGCTCCTTGCAGAGCCCAGCTGCTACGTCTGGGCTCCCCCAAGACCCCCGCTGCCAGCCCAACCCCTCAGTACCATGGTGCCGCATGTCCGTGGGCAGCAGGTCGATGTCCTTGTCCGTCAGCGACGTGCCCATGGCCAGCGCCATCTTCTTGACCTGGCTGGGGAAATCATCCTCCATCCTGCAGGGCGACGGTAGCTGCCGGTCACTGGTGCCGGGAGCCAGGTCCCGGTTTCCCCTGCCCACCCCGGGGCCTGCAGGTGTGTGTCCGGGCTGCTCCGGCCTGGCGGGGGGCTGGGGAGGGAGGGTCCTGCATGCAGCTCAGTGCCCAGGGGCGCCCCTTCCCCAGCACCAGTCGCCTCCCAAGCTCCCCTGTCTGATCTCCCCGTGATCTTTAACGAGTGCAGGGAGATGAAGCTGCCTGTGGGGTGCAGGCAGGGTCTGGCATTGATCCCCCTGGAGAAGGAGCCAGGACCCCAGGAGTTGCACGCAGCAGGTAGGGCAGCAATGCCCTGTGGTCCTTGCACTCGCTGGGGCTCCAGCGTGGAGCTGAGCAAGGAGCAGGGCTCATGGGCTCGCCTACCCCCTGCCCCCCAAGCCTCTGGGAGCTTGGCACAGACCCTGGGGGAGGGCACAGGGGGCTTCCCTGCTGTGCTAAAGGAGCTGCCTTCTGAAGACCCCGTGTCAGGTCCAGTCGCTCTTCTTAGCCCCTTTCCAGGGACTCCCTGCTCCCCGCGTGTGCTGGGCCCCGATCCTGCAGCTGGGCCTGTGCTGGCTGGATCCGACTGGGCAGATGGGGATGTTGGCTGCACATGGAGGGAGCCCATGCACGGGTTTCGAGCCCTGGCTGCCTCTAGAGATGCTTGTGGCCCCACCTGTGCCTGGCACGGAGGCTGCCCAAGGTGGCTGAACTCTCACCTTGCAGCAAAGCACATCTGGGGCCAGGAACAGGCCCTGCAGGTCTGCCCAGCCCCCGGTGCCATGGATGGGGCTGGCGTTCCCCTGTCATGCTCCCCTGTCAGCCTATGGCACCCGCTGCATCACCCAGCGGGTCCCGTGGCCCCCCAGCCCTGCGGGGTGCAGATGGCAGCTGCGCAGGATGTCGTCGGCCCCGGGGCTGGGCCTGCTGCTGGGCTCAGGGCACTACTAAGCAGGACTGGTGCTTGCCGGGCTCCCGGCAGCCCGGGAGAGATGGGAACGCGGCCTGGTCGCATGCCCCAGTGCCTGGAGCCACAGCGCGAGATCGGCCGGCGCAGGTGGCCCCAGCGCGCTCCCGCACCCCCATATTTAGGGCAGCTGAGCACGGATGGACGGGTCGTTTTACGCGTGACCTTTCCCGGCTGCTGGATGCAGTCTGCCCTCACACCTGGTGAGCACGGCCCTTTGCCCAGCCGCCCCCGGGGGATGCGATGCCCCAGCCAGGCTTGGCTTCAGCACTCCCTGGCCATGCCCCCTTCACGGGACAGGCCAGGGCAGACTCGTGTAAGGTTGTGCAGCGCGTGACAGTGCCCGGCTAGGGCCCGCAGGCCTTGCTCCAAGCAATGACCGGCCGGCTACCCCTCTGTGTGCCAGGGGACTGGCCCCTGCCTCCCCAGGGGGAAGGGCTGTGGGGGGGCTGCTTCTCGCCACCCGCCACCCCATGCCCTGCATGTTGCACCAGCCTCTGGAAAACCCCCCTCCCTGCCCGGGGCAGCGGGGTTATTTCAGGGGCTCGGCTGTTGTTTTGCAGCAGGCTCCCTCCTCTCTGGGACTCTTCTGTTCCCAGGGCAGCATCTTGTGATGCGGAGCCGCTCTAGAGTTACGCTCAGCCGAAATAGCTCGGGCCTCCCAGCGGGCTCTCCGGTTCCGGGCCAGCACTCCACGCGGCTATTTCTGAAAGGCACATGCGGCCCCGGGGGCTCGCAGCTCTCGGTGCATGCGGGGAGCTGCTGCACCCGGCTTTGGGGGGAGACCTCCTGCTCTTCCCCTCAGTAGCTGCTGAGGAGTCAGGCAGCGTCTCCTGCCTCCTCTTTGCTTTCCAGCTGCTGCCTTCTCTCAGCACCCTCGGCTCGGGCAGCTGCGTTGTTGTGTGCCGGCTGCACCGCGATTGCCATCTCATCCTGCTTCTTGCTATATACCGAGCTGCCTTCTGCCCGGTGGCGCCCCGCTGCCACGGCTCGGAGCTCAGCTCCCCCCGGCCAAGAGCGGAGCTCAGCTGGGGCTCCGCACCGGGCACGGGGGACTGGGAGATGCTTGAGCGCAGGCTGGGCTCAATGCTGCCTGCAGCAGGGCTGCCCCGGTGCCAGGTGCAGAGGTTACAGGACCCCGGTGCTGGCTGCTGGGCTCCTGCTGTTGCTGCCTTGCCTGTCTCTGGATGCTGCCGGGGTGCCGAATCCCTTGCCTCGGGCTTCTAACTATCCGCGTTTATAGGTGCAAAAACTTCTCTCTAGAGCAGTTTCCTCCACACCACATATCCAGAGCGTGCCAGGCCTGGCCAGCAGATGGCACAGAAATGGCCCGCTGCTCCCTGAGCCCATGGCCCCAGCTTCCCACACCAAGTAACTTTGCTTGGGGCCTGTTGCAGCAGGCGGGAGACCTGGCCAGGTGGACTGCCCTGTCCCCCCGCTGGCGTCTGCACCCAGGAAGCAGGGGAGCCTCCCTGCTCAAAGCACCAGCTTCTGCGGGGCTGGGAGAGCAGCCCCCAGCTCTGGACAGATGGACACCAGCCTCTCTGGCATGGCCTTGCTGGGCAGACCCTCACTCTCCATCTCTGCCCCAGGGCTGGCCAGCTCTGGGCCCTTTCTGGACTGCCCTTGGCCTCATTTCCTTGCAAAAGCATCCGCTGATGCTCTTAGGGCCTCGCTCGTCCCTGCTCCTCTGGGCTTACCTGGCGCAGGTGTCTTGAGCGGCTCCTTCCCGAACGGGGCTTTGACGAGTTCTGGGGGCGCTGAGCACGCCTCCGTCTTTTATAGCCAGCGCCGGGGCTTGCTATTTCCAGAGAGCTGCACCTGTCGGGCTCAGCCGCTCTCCTGGGCCCTTTCAAGACGTCGGCAGCAGGCGGCTCGGGTTCTCCTGGAGCAAAGCAGCCATGGCAAAGCCTGGCAGGCGACCGGCAGCGCGGGTTGTGGCTGTGCAGGAGGAGGGAGCTTCTTCATCTCAGGGGCTTCTGGAGTCCCAGCTGGGCTGCTGCTGAGTGCTGAGGTTGGAGTCACCAGATGCTACGGCCTCACAGACCAGCTTGCCCAGGACGTGGCATCACGCAGCAGGCCTGGCTCGCAGGGCAGGCACCCAGAGGGGAGCCCGCTGCAGGACCCTGCCCATTGCACCACTGCCGCTGGCATTCCCTCTGCAGACAGATGTGCCTTGTGCTGGCAGATGTGCCTGGCATGGGGGGCACCGCCAAGGAGATCTTGAACACCTCCACGACACCGAGCTCCTTCTCCAGCCCTGGAGGGTCTCCCCGGCCCTGCAACCCCCCATGCTTCTGGATGCCCAGGCACGGCACCATGTGGCTGTCTGTGCCGGAGGGGGTGATGCTGAGCTGACCGGGGCACAACCTCCCCCAGGCCTTGGGCTGAGCCACAAAGGCCTGCTTTATTTTAGCAGGGGATCTTCTGGCAACAAAGAGGGAATGAAAATTGAGATACGGCTTCAGGACCCCTGGGCTGGTTGGGGAGGTCCGAGTTGTGCTCCAGCAGTTCTTCTGCACCCCAGAACCACCAAGGCAGCCTCCTCCGGCACCCCCCGACCCGGGGCCCGGAGCTGGCAGTGCCCAGGTCAGGCTCAGGATGGAGAAGACCCTTTGGAGGGAGCCCCAACTGTGGCTACAGGGCAGCCTGTGCCCCTGTGAAAGCAAGAGAAGGCACATTTGCTGCCCTGGGCAAGTTGCATGGAGCAAAAACAAGTGAGTCCTGTATCCAGAACAGGAGCGTGGTGCTCAGGACCCCCTGGGGACACTGTCGCCATCCTCCGAGGAGCTGCGGGGTAGAGACAAGGAACAGGGCACAGCCCCAGCGCAAATCCCAGCTGCGTCTGTCCCAGCCTCTGGCACCACAGGGTGCCCTGGGAGTCTCTGGCAGGCACCAACTGGTGGGTGATAATTGATGGTTATTCTCACCGAGCTTCCCCCCCTCCAGGTTAAATTTAGGCCGAGTATGACTCAGCTCCTGCAGCCACCAAGCAAGCGGCCTCTGCTTTGCTCCTCTCTGGCCCCCCACCCCCTGCCGTGCTGCGGGAGGTGACCTCCCCGGGGTGCCCTGCTGGGATGCAGCTGCTGGGAGCCTAGAGGGATGCTCCCCCTGCCCTGCACTGGGTACCAGCTCCCCCTGCCAGCAGCCGTGCCCAGGTCTTGGTCCTTACAGGCAGCTCAGCATAGGGCTGCCCCCCCTCTCCCTGGCGTGGCAGAGATCAGGCTTTAGTCCACAGAGCAAGGGAGCCGGGACTCCTGGGCTCTCTGCTTGACGTACTGCATCGCTTTGGCAGACTGCTCCTTTGCTCCTGCACTGGTTTCTAGAGCAGACACCCTGAGACACCCCCTCCCCGCCGCCCTCATGGGAAGGGGCAGCGTAGCCTCACATCTGGAGGAGTCATGCAGCTGTTGGGCTGTGCCGGGGAGGGGACGGGGATGCAGAGCCTGGTTCTGCATGACCCCAGGTCAGGGCCCTGCCCCCAACCCTTGGGAGCGGTGAGGAGCTGGGGGTGCATGGGGGAGAGAAAGCTCCAGCCCCGCGGGATCTCTGTAATCATGGCCATAGGGTTGCCCGGAAGGAGCCCAGCACCAAAGGGCCGGGGCCAGTGCTCTCGGCAGACCCACCTCTCAGCAGGTGCAAACCTCCCTGCATTTGCAAGCCGAGCTGCTGCCAATTAAGAGGCTCCTTCCAGGGGAGAGCCTGGGAGCCTTAGCCCAAAGCACGGGACTTTCCCGAGGGAAAAAGCGGAAGACGTGAGTGACTGCAGGGACTCGACCCGGATCCTCAAGGTACTGCTGTGTGCAGGGGCCCTGCCATGGGGGAATAGTCCCCGGAAGACCCCCCCAGTGCAGCCCGGTGCCTGTCACCAGCCCTGGGCTCCTGCTCCAAGACAGAAGGGTGCAGGCCACAGGAGACTACAAAACCGCGGTCTCCCGAGCTCCAGGGGGAAGGATCGGGCTCTGCATGACGAAGATGGCTCTGCGGGGAATATTGTCGCGAGCAGATTGCGGTTTCTCCAACACCAGCGCTATTTGTAGCGAGGCGACATCTGCCGTGTGCAGTTCTGGGCCTGCTCAGGCCTGGGACAAGCGGTAGCGCAGCACGAGGGGAAGGCTCGGAAGTCCTCTGCTCGGAGCCGGCCGTGCACGACCGCTTGCAGAGATCAGGGGATGAGTCGAGCACCAAGACGTGCGTACCCCTCATGAGAGGAAAGCTGCTTGTGCTTGTGTGTCACCTGGACACGATGCATCCAGGTGCACAACCAGCATCTGGGGCTGCCCCCGGCTTTGCAAGGGGTTGCTCGCGGCACGCACTGCCTGCCAAGCTCCCTGCTGCCTCTATAAGGGTTGCACTGACCTTCCCTTGTGAAGGGGGGGGGACCAAGGCAGCATCCAGGCTGGATCCCAGGGACAGCGCCTCCCCCGCCTGACAGGTGTTTGTGTCTCTCTTTCTTTCCCCCTGTGTGCTGTGGTCAGTCTATAAGGTGCAAACCTACCTGTCTTCCGCCCGACTTCAGACGAGCACGGCTGTGTCCCGTGGCCCTGCGTGGAGAACGCCTGCGCCACGCAGAAACCAAAGTGACTGAGCTCTCCAGCAGGACAACCGGCTTGTGCCTGGAGCATCCTGGAGCCACCCGGGCAGCGAGGGGCTGGTGTACTTCAGGCCACAACCCAGCGTGGTTTCCACCCAGTTTTGCCTGCCTTTGACTGCAGAGGAGGGTAAGAGGCACCCCTGTGTGTGCCCGCCACGATGCCCCCCTTGGTCTCGTTCAGCGGTGGGGAGGGGGGCTGACTTGGCTCGACGTTTCGATGGTCTTCGGAGCCCAGCAGTCACCTCTGGCAGGCTGGCGGGAGCCCCAGCCCCGACCCCTCACACTTCTCTTCCCATGTCTGCAAAGCCCATGCAATCTCTTGCCACCTTCATGACTGACACCTGTAAAAGGCTCCCCTCCCGTGTCCCAGCCTGGGCTACAGGTAAGTGCCACTTCCCATTTTACAGACAGGGAAACTGAGGCATGGGTGACATGACTCCTCTTAGGTCCCGTGGCACAGCAGTGGCAGGGTTGGGAGCTGAAGCTGGGCATCCTGGCTCCTCTCCTCTGAAAGCAGCTGCCAGGGGACACAGCTGCTCAGAAGACCGGCCCTCCCTCCCTGTCTCCCCAGGAGGAAGGACGGAGAGCCAGGGCCAGCAGGACAGAAGCAGGCACAGGCTGCGGGTGCTCTGGGACCCCGTCGGGGCCTGTTGCAGCAGCGATGCAGCCCTGCCAGGAGGTGCACGTGCCGCCAGGGCTGGGTGCCAAACCCTGCCCGAGGCCTAGAACAGAAGAGCTGCCATGGACTGGGTCAGACCCTAGATCCATCTCCCGTGTCCCGCCGGGGCAGGGAGCGGAGGCTGATGGAGAGGGACCAGGGTTCCTCCCCTGTTCCTCTCTCACTTGCAGCCTCCTCGCTCAATAGTGACTGATGCCCCTTTCCTCCAAGCCTGTGTCCGATCCCTTGGTGAATCTGGCTGAACTCTCAACTTCCACGTCTGGTGGCGATGAGTTCCTCACTTGAACGCCACGCTGGGTGACAAAGAACTGCCTTTTGCTAATTTTAAACCTACTGCCTGCTGGTTTCATGTGACCCCTCCTTGTCTGGTGAGAGACGGTCAATAATGACCCCCCTGTTGACTTTCTCTTTGCCATTTAGTATGATGCGAGCCCTTCTCACGCCCTCTCTCCAGTGTCTCTCTTCTGAACTGAAGGGCCTGGCCTCATTAGTGTGTGCTCATCTACAAGCCCCTCCGTGGCCCTTGTCACTCTTGTTGCCCTTCTCCAGACCTCCTGGAGCTCTTCTATCTCCTTTCGGAGGTGTGGGGACCAGATCTGGCACATTCCTCAAGGTGTGGATGCACCATAGATTGATAAAAGGCATGATGCCACTGCAGCTAGGGGCAGGCGGGTGTCTAGGATCCCTGAGCTCGAAGCCGCGGGGGGAGTGGGTGCAAGCCAGAGGGGAGCCTGGCTCTGCAGAGCAGGGGCTGGAGTGGGTGCAAACCAGGGGGGAGCCTGGCTCTGTGGGGCAGGAGCAGGAGGGGAGCCCAGCTGTGCATCCACTGAGGGGAGAGCCCAAGTGTGCAGGGCTGGGGCAGGAGCGGGTGCAAGCTGGGGGCAGCCCAGCTCTATGGGGCAGGGGCTGGGGTAGGTGAAGGCAGAGGGGAGCCCAGCTGTGCAGGAGCGGGTGCAAGCCGGGAGGAGCCCAGCTGTGCAGACAGGGGCTGGGTGGGTGCAAGGCAGAGGGGAGCCCAGCTGTGCATCCACTGAGCGGGGAGCCCAAGTGTGCAGGGCTGGGGCAGGAGCGGGTGCAAGCCGGGGGGAGCCCAGCTGTGCATCCACTGAGCGGGGAGCCCAAGTGTGCAGGGCTGGGGCAGGAGCGGGTGCAAGGCAGAGGGGAACCCAGCTGTGCAGACAGGGGCTGGGCTGGGCTGGGCTGGGCTGGGCGGTGCAAGCCGGGGCCCAGGCGGTGCGGGTGCGGGTGCGGGAGCGGGAGCGG